CGCAAATATATTTGTTTTGTCTTTGCGTCTGCTGCTTCTTTGCCTCTATGCAACTTCGTTCGTCTCCATGCGTCCAGGAGTTTATACATACAGCAGTGCGACAATGCAATTTGTATGTATCCACTTGCCCCTTTCCCCTTCTGTTCTATTTCTCTCTGATTCTCACTGTCTCCAGTGCTTCTACTGCTTTGTACTCTAAAGCCCTCCCCCCAAGCTATGTAGAGCGAAGGGGAGGAGTTGACTATGCCTTCTGTCGTTGGCTTTCTTCGCCGCTGCCTGGGCTACTTGAACAGCTGCAGGGCGATAGACAACAAGAAACCCGCGTCGTGCATCGTATGCACTCTCTTAGAGGTGTCCTCATACTTGTGTTCGCGTCTTTGTTCAAACACTTGCACGGTCTACATACACAACTGCAGGCCCGCACGCGCGCAGGCTCCATGCAGTATGCAGTAACCGTCTACCTACAACGTCTTTGAGTTGCACAAACGGACTAAGTTCACCGGCATATGCATGCACTTGGCATGCATAAGGCGGCTCCATGCACGTATAAGGCCCATTGATGATATGCAGCATGCATGCATGCAAGCATGCATGTATGCACGTGTCTGCGCATGCGCTTTGCGCACGCATACAGCACGCATGATACGCTGTGCGGGGTTGAGTTTGAGGTTTGCAAGTTGCCGTGGTGTATGTACATCCGGGTATCAGTTTAGCATCAGACTAGCCCCCGCTCTTTCTGCTTTTTCTTTGAACAAGTTGGATGTGAGAGTTTTGGCCTGCAGCGCCGAACTATCCAGAGGAGTAACGGCGACTCCGTCTACTCCGTTGAGCTCGTACGCCTGACCGCACTCCATCTTTATCACTTCATTTGAATCAGCTCGGTGCAGCCAAACCTGCGTCTTCAGGGGGCCCGCTGAGTCTATCATTGTTACCTCTCCGTCGAACGCCTGCACGCAGCAGAGCAACTCGCTCTTCAAGCCATTACGGTGCATGCATGCTGGCTGATACTTGTGCTCGCGTACATACACTGTACGCACTGCAGTATCCAAACCAACCAACATTTTATGTTG